TAGCCGAAACTATATTAAAAACATAGTAAGGGATATGACGAAATTATTTTGAGGGAGTTTCGGCTGGCATCTTTACTAAATATATATTTTTTATATATATAATGCAATAATTTTTCAATTCTAGTTAAATAAAAATATTTTATATAAATATACTTTTATGTGATTTTACATAATTTTAATATTATAATATATAATGAATTTCTTTTAAAGTTAATTATAAAGATTTTCTAATAAAAGAATATTTCATTAAGCAAATATCTACAATATTACATCATATACTACAGATATAATAATATAAGTATTTTATTTAAATTTTATTAGTCTGAAGTATAAACGAAAAACTATTATAGTATAGCAATATTAATGAAAATCTACCTGTTCAAAATTGAGTCAATACATAATTGGTTGCTTTTATTATATATGTATTATAGACTTAACTATGATTTCTGTTAATTGTATTCTATGCATAATTTTGTTTAATCTTATAAGGAATTAATTTATAAATAGTTGACTATATAAATTTAAAATTATTATATTTATAATATAAATATTTTGCAATAGAAAATCTTATTATATATTAAATATGATTTTTTTAATACAATAAGTTTAGATTTAATATAAATTCAAAATTTTTTAAATTTCTTTTCTTTTTACTATAAAATAATATTTAAAAAAATAATCTAATAAATATATAAATCTATATTACATATTTTAATAAAATTTATTTAATATAAAGTAAAAATAATTTAATTTATAAAATAAATTTATACTTAAATATTTCATATATTAATCATAAAATTATCAAATAAAAAATAAAAAATTGTTATTAACAAATTATTTAAAAAAAAATATTAAAAAATTTATTTAAAACTAAATTTTAATATTTTATTTTTATTATATTATTAAAAATTTTAAATTAAAAATTTTAATAATAAAATATTAATAATATTAATAATAAAAGATTATTTATAAATAATAAATTTTAATGTATTTTACCTAAAAATTATAAAATATTATATAAACTAAATTGATAAAATCATTAATATTTAAAGTATAAGAAATAGATAAACAATTTATAAATTGAATATATTTATTAAAGATTGATTTTAAAATAAAAAAAATTTAATTAATCTAAAAGTATATAAATACTTTATTTTTATTTATAATAAGCTAAGTTTTAAAGAGATTTTTTAGTTTAAATTTTACTATAATAAATTTTTTTAAAATTTAAAAGAAATTATAATAATTACTTGAGTAATCATAAACAAGTATTTATAATAATCTCAAAATAAATATAAAAATAATTAATTAACTAAAATATTAAAAACAAAAAATCTGATCTTAATTTGCTGACCTTTTTCGTTATAGATACTTGCAATATTTGCTTTAATTACTGTGATACAATATTAAGATGTAATGATAATCAACTTTAAAAGATTTAAAATCAAATATGATGTGATTGTTTTTACATATAGATTGAATCAAAAAAGATCTCTTAGAATTAAACGAAAATGATCTTATTATAAATATTCTTTCTGCATAAGCTTTTATTGGTTGGTATAACAATTTACCAAATTTACCACAATATTGAGACTTGGAATCTAATTTGACTTGTGTTTTTCCAATAAGTATCAGAAATAAAGATTTTACTGACTTTCTAGTGGATTACTTTCTTTCCTACAAGTTTAAATTCTTTTAAAAAAATTAAAAAATTAAAGAATATATACCAGAAACCAAGGGTAGCATGTGATACGTAAAATCTAATCAAATATTAATATAATTTTTATAATTACTTCTACTAATGATGGTTATCATTTGCTGATGAGGCATAAATTATTTCTAACTTCGTCTAAAAAAATCCTTTTTTTGTAAATATTTCAATTTACTAAAACCTTTCATTAAAAATATGGCAGTAATTATACCATTTCATTTCAATTGATCACGTATCAACTGAAGAATCTATTATAGGATTAAACATTCTTTGAATATCTATTCATCCACTTTAAATTTATATGATCTTGACCCGGTAACATATTGTTATAAAACAAGACAAACTTCGGCTAAGTCCATATCAAAAGTCTTGTAATCCTCATAATATTCTATAAATAATAATTTGATTTTCTTACAGAATTCTTGAACAATATATTTAGATATCTTTAATGATTTTCTTGAAGTATTTGCATATAAAGCATCTACTTTCTTTCCTATAAATACAAGAATCCTTTATCAACATAAATTCTTCCGCAAAATCCATTTGTTCAAATTGTTTTCTTCAGATGTGTGATTAAATCTACTGTGCCATCCCGCAATCAACAATTAAGAAGATTGCTGATTAAATAGAGAAAAAATAGTTTATATCCTTATATTCGTATCAATCATCTTTAAAATATTCTATATTCCTTTTTTTCTTTCATATTTAATATATTCATCCGTCAAATTAAATAATTTTAAGAGGTTAATTTTTAGTATAGGTATTAATCCAACAAGATTTGAAACTTCAACTGATTTCTTCTTTCATTTTATTTATTTCTTTGATATAATAAAGTTTTTCTAGGTTGATTTCTACGTAAAATTTTGAAGGTTTACTCATATTGGAAAAAATTATTTGACTATATTAAAAATTGCGATAAAGAACTAAAAACAATTATATTGTGATTGGCTATTAAAATTATTAAAATCATATTACGGATCATAGTTATACCATATATTTCCATAAATAGTGTATACTATGAAGATCTTTGAATCCCACAATTTCAAATTTTTCATTTTTTAATATAAATAAGGATAGAATTCATTTGTCGATTCCTCAGTTTGCATTCACTTTTGTGGGTGTTTA